AAATTGAAACCTATAAAGCTAATCATTTACAAGAAAACAAAATATGTGAATTTGCTTAATGGTTTTACTTGTAAAATATTTACAAGTGATATCCACTCTTACCCATATTGGCCAATAACCCTGAAATTGCTTGAACATCAGCTTCCAGAAAGACTGCATTCAGAGTTGAAACTACTGGCAAACACAAAGTACGGATAGTATTCTTCTTTCACCTTTGGGGAAAACACATGATAGTAAGGACAGCTACATTCAAAAAAGATTATGCTAGAGTCAGGTTTTTCACTATAGAACCAAGTAGTGTCATATAGGAAGCAGAGATGCTATCAACACTCTAGTCTGTGACAACAATAAAGTTTTTTTTATTATTATTTTTATGAGTATAAAACTCTTTATTTACAGTATTACTAAACAGATAACAGGGAGCATATTTAAATGATAATATCCTAGCATTTTCTTCCTTCTCACTTCTTTCTCTATATCCCCCCACCACCACCCGCTTTCTTTTTTGAGAGGAGGACTCATGTAGCCCAGGCTGGCCCAGCCATATGAGTGTTGGAATTACAGGTATCTGTCAGCACACCTGCCAATATGCTAGTGTGCTTGTGGCCTTTTTTAAGTTTCAGAAAATTTTTATTTTATTTATTTTATTTGCAGTACTGGAGTCTGAACTCAGGGCTTCACACTTGCTACCCAAGACCTCTACCAATTGAGCAATGCTCCTAGCTTTAATTTTACTCTTTTTAAACACAGAAAAAAAAAATTAAAGGAAATAGATTAGTAGTTACAATGCCCTTTCTTTGCTAGTTACCTACAACAACTATCAGTAATTCAAAGTAAAAATGAAAACTTTTAAGAATCATCAAAATTATCTCTCTCTCTCTCTCTCTCTCTCTCTCTCTTCTGTCTCTCTTCTCTCTCTCTGTCTCTCTGTCTGTCTGTCTCTCTCTTTCTCTCTCTCTGTTTCTCTGCTGGGATTGAACCCAGGACTTCTGCATGGTAAGCTCATCTGGGATGTGAATAAACAAACTGGACACAGCAAGAAACTACTCAGGAATAAAAAGGAGTAAATCACTAAGATGCAGCATGTGGATGAATCTCAAAATGCTAAGTAAGGAAGCCAGACTCAAAAGTCTACACACTACAGGTTGAGCAACCTGAACCCAAATAATCCAAACTCTGAAATCTTTCAAGCACCACAAGTGGAAAATCCCGCTCCTTAGACATGAGGGTAGGGTAGCGGTCAAAATGAAGGCACACTAAAATATTGTATAAAATGATCTTTGGCTATGTCTGTAAGATGTATAGGAAACACAAGTGAACTTTATGTTAAGATCTGATCCCATCCCCAAGATATCTCATAATGTACATGCAAATAATCAAATATTTGAAAAAAATCCAAAATTGAAAAAATTCTTCCAGTGCCCAGTCTTGTTTTGTTCTGTCAAGTAAGACATAAATGTCTAGACGGGCACCGGTGTCTCACATCTGTAATCCTAGCTACTCAGGAGGCAGAGATCAGGAGGATTGAGTTTCAAGGCCAGCCCAGGGAAAATGAAAAACGAGACCCTATCTCAAAATACTCAGCAGAAAAAAGGGTTAGCAGAGCGGCTCAAGTGGTAGAGTTTAGCCTGCCTAGCAAGTGTGAAGCCTAGAATTCAAACCCAGTGCCACCAAAAAAAAAAGTAAATTGAACATGCCTCAGAATAAAACACAAATTAGATGTTAATTAGGAATGAACAAGTCCCACCCTTAAGAACTGCTGTCTGTCTCCAGCACAAGTCCTTTCAAAACGTCCACTGGACGAGGTCTTTCCCTGGCTACTCTATCTTAAAATAGCAACTCGAGCACTTCCTATACCCTTACCTGCTCTGCTTTTCTCCTTAACTATTACACTGTTTATCCTGTTTATTATCTGACTCACTAATAGAACTAAAATCTATGCAATAATTTTTTTTTTTTTGAGACAGGGTCTCGCTGTGTTGCCCAGCTGTTCTAGCACTCCTGGGCTCAAGTGATCCTCTTGCCTCAGGCTCCCAGCACTGGAATACAGGCCAGAGCACAGCTCAATAAAGGGATTTTTAAACTGATGCACAGAATGTCTGCTACAAAACAGACTCTCAATGAGTATTTATGGCTGAGTATGGTGGCCCATGAGTATAATGCCAGGACTTGGGAGGTTGAAGCAGGAGGAACATGAGTTCGAGGCCAGCCTGGGCTATACAGTAAGATCCTGACTCCAAAGAAAAGAATGTGTGAATAAAATGTAAAATGGTCTAGGAAAATAAACACCATGGCTTTACCAAGAATAACAACAAAGCTCTTATGATCAGGAACACTCTTTTGGCTGAACAGGCATTCCTAATTACTCCAAAGAGTCTCTCATACTCAGAAGAAGACATTCTACATGAACAAACGTACCTTTACTACAATACTGTGCTGAACGTTAACACAGTAGAGCTTATGTTGTGGTTTTTGTGACAATAAAGCAAACAAAAACTTACCTTTGCTTGATGTATACAAGAGTGCTGACTGAAAAAGAACCCAACTGCATGTCAGGAAGACTCTTTTCCGCTGACATCTGTACTGTATACCTGGCATCTGGGTTGACATTGGGCAGAGACAGGAAGTCTGTGGAGCAGACAAAGAAGTTCCCATGGAAAGTGTGAATGGTGAGAACTAGGCGAGAACAAATTTTAAAATGACTTTATATGCCTGCCTCTGGATATTTACACTTTATCCTAGTCACTTATGAGATACTAAAAATAGGTAGATAATAGAGAGGATTTAGTGAGATTGAGGGGGATAGGTGTCTTCTTAAATAAAGGTGAGGATACAACCTTCAAACGCTTTCTGGGAGGACAATTTGGCTCTACATATTAACATTATTTGAACTTTAGCAATCTCTTATCTAAGAATTTATGCTATAGATATACTCATTCAAGTGCACATTTCTTTGTGCAAAAACATTTTAAACAGATTTGTCACAGCAAAAAATTTTAAAAATCACCATCACTGGTTATCAGTAGTAAAATAACTAAACTGTGATTTGTTCCTTTTAGTGAAATTAGGTAGACATTAAACAGAATGGGATAGGTTTATATAAACTAAAATGAAGGGATCTTTAAAGTTTATTAAGTGAGCATGTCATTTATGCAAATACACCATCTATGTACTTTCCATGCAGTTGTACCTAAGCCAAAAGCAGAAAATCCTGTTATGCACCAAAGTGGTTACAGTAAATACATAAGGATGTAATTGTGTGTACAATCAAGCTGATATGGAAGGAATTTAGCTTAGCAATAGGTATATATGCAAATATATACATGCATAATGCATGTATAAAATATTTGTATTTAAAGAAAAACAGATGCATATATTGTGAAATAAAAACTAACTTTAAAACAAGAAAGATACAGTTCTGCACATACAAAAACAGATGTCCATGATGTGGTTTAAAAACATGTGAGCATCTCATGGAGCACAGCAGAGCGGGAGCCAGCATGCAGAAGCCTGGTGACTTGCCAGATTCACACTGCCCCAAGCTCCCTTGCCAGCATCTACAGCAGGGAACATCATCTGCAGCTAGAGAAACACTTCAAGGTGGATGGGTACCCTGACTATAAGACCAGGTGGCCCTGGCTACCAGGCTCAACCTGAAGGAGTATGATGTGCAGGTGTGGTTCCAAATGTATTTGATCCTTAAGGACTGTGAGGAACTCTTTTTTTCTGGGGGGGGGGGGCGCAAGGGGAGTCCTGGAGTTTGAACTCAGAATTTTGCACTTGCAAAGCAGGCACTCTAATGCTTGAGGCACACCTCTAGTCCATTTTGTTCTGCTAATTTTGAAGATAGGGTCTCACAAGGTATTTGCCCAGGCTGGCCTCAAACCTTGATCCTCCTGAACTCAATCACTCAAGTAGCTAAGGCTTATAGGTGTGAACCACCACTGCCCCAGCTAAGTTCATTGTTAAGGCAGGAAAATGACATAAAACCAGCAGAAAAAAAAAAAAAAGCTAGGCCCCAGTGGTTCATACTTATAATCCTAGCTACTCAGGAGACCAAGATCAGGAGGATCATGGTTTGAAGTCAGCCTGGGCAAATAGTTTGTGGGACCCTATCTTAAAAAAACCTATCACAAAAAGGGGGGGAGGTGGGCTGGTGGAGTGGCTCAAGGTGTAGGCCCTGAGTTCAAACCCCAGTACAGAAAAACAAAAAAACAAAAAAAAAAAAAGAAAAGAAAAAAAATCCTGGACCCATTGTTTGGTTTTCTGGAGATTACAACAACAGCTACGACCACTGAAAATAAAGTGCCAAAAGCAGAACATTTTACAAACCCCGCCCCACCCCCTTGCCCTGCCATTCCTGGCTCTCCATTATAACCAGCATTTGGAAGTGACTTGATCACAAAGCACTGCTCCTTTCATCTTTTCAGTCTGGACAGCTTCTTCTACCACAGCCTGAAGTCTGATCCCGATTTCTGGTCAGACACTGTGAAGTCCAGGGAGCTCCCCTCAGCCCTAGAGGCCTTCCAGAGACTTTCTATCTCTGCATTGGCACCTGGGTACAAAGAGGGAGGTAGCATGGCAGATTGAGGGCAGATCAGGCCCAGGATGGTTCTGAATATTTGAGGGGGGAGGGTCTGTGCCTATGGCTCTTGCAGGTCCCATGGAGCCAGATCCCTGTGGGTACTTTTGGATCTGTGAATACACCATTTCCCCAAACCTGCTAGACAGTTCTCATGGATATGGTAGGAGAGCAATTCTTGCAGATTTTTTTTTTTTCTTTTTGGGAGGGAACCCAGGATCTTATGTATGCAAGGCAGGCTCAGTAGTAACTGAGCCACACCCCTAGGTGGGGAAAGCATTTCTGGGGATTCCTTCAGTACTTGGTGCCCACAGGCTCTAAATGGCCCTGCCCACCCTTACTCACACTTGGCTAGTGGGAGGTTTTAATGTCTGCTTTGTGCCCTGTCCTGGCTTTAATATTAATTTCCCTGGTGTTTGGCAGGTTGGTCATTCACATATGTTATGTCCTCTTATGTTTCATTCATTTGAATTTATTCCTCTACGACAACTGAAGTGCCTTATTATTTCTTCCCCACCCCCATAAAAAATCCCCGTGATTGTGAGAGTCATCTTTTTGACCTGGAATTAAGGCTAAAGTATGTGCTTACCTTGTACGGGAAAACTTTTAAAGGGATGTCAGAAGCCAAAGAATGGGACCTAGTGGACTATGTTTCTCTTTTTATATGTTTTAATACTTCATCTTTTTCCCCTGTGGTGCTGGGGATTGAACCCAGGGCCTCAGACATGCTAAACATGCCGTCTACATACAGCTGTACCCACCCCATCTCCTATCAATGATTTCTAATGAAATTAATTGATCATAAAAGAAAAAACTAAGCCAGTTAACCACACAGTTTTCAGTTAGGCACTCTGTAGAGAAGCTCAAGCCTAGTTTGTTGGCATTTTCCCAGGCTCTTCCTACCCTTACCTTTTTTTAGGGGGCTGGGGGTAGGGGCATGGGAACACTGAGATTTGAACTCAGGGCCTTGTACTTGCTAGGCAGGCACTGAACCATTCCTCATCCCAATTCCCAGTCTCTTTATGAAAAGTAAGATAATAAAAATAACCTCTGATTCATCAAATAGAGAAAGTCTTAAGCATGTTTAGTATGAACACTTTCCCTAATTAGCAGTCAGTATCTGGAGAAATAAACATTTTTTAATTCTGCCAATCTTATATATTAATTTTTAACATTCTGTTTTGAGACTGTGTCTTACTTCATAGCTCAGGCTAGTCTCAAACTTATGATCCTCCTGCCTCAGCCTCCAGGCACACAGTTCTTTTTTTAAAAAAAAAAATTATTTCTCAATGCATTTCTGTATGTCTTCATATACTGCCTTGTGCTAGCTGCTCTGGTGCTTATTATGAGTTTATAAGCACAGACCACTGTCTCACCAGTTGAGATCTGCCTTACTTAGAGTACTAACATCAGACCTTTTAATTTCATTTTCTCCTCTTTTCTACCAGCATATATTAATTACACAAGGGGTTTTGTTATGATATTTCCATACACGCATATAATGAGCTCTGATCAGAGTCAACCCCACTATGACTCGTTCTTATCTTCCTCCCCCCATTTTTAAACAATTTTTAACGGGTCTGACAACTCTACTTTCATACTTGGGTACAAAATACTTACTCACCCCTCTCATCCTCCAGACTCCTGCTGGTTCCCAACCCCAAATGCTCCTCCTTCTGACACTCCCACAAACTCCTTTTAAATGATGCTACTATTACCACACCAAAGTAACTGCAGGCATTTCACTCAGCTTTTCTCTAACTTCTCAAGGTCCTGTCAAAAAGAATAATCCATTAGTGGTATAGAAACTTCTCTATTTCTCTCCTACTAAATTAGCATAGCCCACTATAAGATTTATTACTGGTTAAACTGATCAGCAGGAGGCTATTGTGCACACCTGCAGCCCCCAGCTGCTTAGAAGGCTGGGGGGAAGGGGAAATTGAGACCAGCCTGGGCATTATTCAAGGGAATAAATGCTCTTACATTGCCTTCTACTTAGAATAACGTCATATGTCATTTCACCATTCACTGAAGAAAACAATCATGAAGAACTTACCCGGAGAAGCCAAATCAGAATACTGTCCACTGAGAAGGAATAAGTCAACAGCTACCTGTTGACCAGAACAGTCCAAGGCTAATTTCTTATAGAAGTCAATGGATGGAGTCAGGTGTATTTTCTATGAATAATAAATAACAAAGATACATCAAAAAATCATTATCAAAAATGTAAATACATCTGCATATATGTATAATTATAACATCTTTGACCCACCTCTATATGTGTGGGTTTTTTTTTGGGGGGGGATACTGGAGTTTATATTCAAGGTTTCACCCTTGCTACATAAGCCTTCTATCACTTGAGAAACACACCCAGGCCTACATAGATTAATAACAATTATCTCTGGGGTATTCTACTCAAACCTTGTACATTTTTATACTACTTGATTTTTCATTAAAAAACGGACTAGACAGGTGTGGTGGCCAAGCCTACAGGCCCAGCAACTGGGAGGCTGAGGAAGGAGGACAACAAGTTCACACCTGGCTTCTTGATGATGTTCTGTAAACCACAAACCTCTCTAATTTTGAAGAAGTCCAATTTATATACTTTTTTCCTTTTGTCATCAATACTTTTGATGCTTCATCTAAGAGTCCAAGATTCACTCCTATGCTTTCTCCTAACACTTCCAAACTTTTAGTCTCACAATAGGCTCTATGAGCCACTTTCAGTAACTATTAATTTTTTCTGTAGTGCTAAGTATTAAACCCATGGCCTCATGCAAGGTAGGCAAGTGCTGAACCTTTGAGCTAAACCGCCAGCCTGAGTTAATTTTTTTATGGTAAAATGTACAAAATATATAAAATTCATCATCTTAACTATTTTGAACATACAATTCAGTGGTATTTGATGTATCACAATGCTGTGAATCCATCATTTATTTTCAGAACCTGTTCATCATCCCACACAGAAACTCTGTACCCACTCACAATTCCCTACTTCCCTTTCCCTCCAGCTCCTAGTAATCTCCATCTTCTTTTCTGTTTCTATGAATCTGCTATTCTAGATACGTCATGTAAGCAGAACCACAGAATATATTTCTCCATTTGTGTCAGGTTTATTTCACTTAGCAAAATCTTTAAGCTTCATCCATGTTGTATCATGAATCAGAATTTCATTTTTCCTTGAGGCTGAAAAATATTCTATTATATGTTTATATCACATTTGCTTATTCATTCACTTGCTCATGGCTACTTGGGGTGCTTCCAACCTTTGACTATTCTGAAAAATGTTGCTATGAATGATGTACAATGATTTGTCTGAGTCTCTGCTTTAATTCTTTCAGGTATAAAATAAGAAGTGGAATTGTGAAATCTTATGCTAATTTTATGACAACTCTGAGAACTACCAAACTGTTTTCCATAGAAGCTGTACCATTTTCCACACTGACCATCAATTCATGGGGGTTGTGATGTTGCCATACCTTGCCAACATTTGTTGTTTTGCATTTTGTAAAAACTAGCCATCCTTCTGATGGATGGGAAGTTAACTGATGATGAGTTTTTGGATAGTTTGATTTTTTTTTTTTTTAGAAATATGCAAGCAATTAGTATTTTATTCTATGGATTGATGGATTCCACATTGTTACAACAAAATGAAAAATGAGAAGACATGGTCTACATTAACAGAGGTGAAATGTATAAACATACTTAAGTTACAACTCACAGCAGAAAGTATAGCTATTTCTTATTATAGTTTGAAAAAAATTTTTTGTCACAAACAATACACAGAAGGATTTTTGTTTTGTTTTTGGTGCTGAGGACTGAAGTCAGAGCCTCTAGAATGCAAGGCAAGCAGTCTACCACTGAGCTACATCCCAGCTCTCACTGTGATTTTGACTTACATTTTCCTAATGATTAAAGATGTTGAGCATTTTTCATGTCCTTATTGTCCATTTGTGTATCTTTTATGGAAAAATGTCTAGTCCAGTCCTCTACCCAGTTTTCAATATTTTTTGTTGTTTTTGAGGCATAGTTCTTTATGTGTTGTGCATACTAAATTCCATATTAGATATATCATTTGGAAAATTTTCTCCTATTCTGTGGGCTAATTTTTTCACTCCCTGGACAGTGTTCTCTGATGTACAAAACTTGTTGTTTTTCTTTTGCAGTACTGGGGATGGACCCCAAGGCTTTGTGTATGCTAGGCATGGGCTCTAATACTGAGCTACATCTCGAGCCACAAAAGGTTGCTGTCTTTTAGGAACCTGGGATGAAACCAGGGCCACACATGCTAGGCAAACTGTTGTAGCACAAGAACTTTATTTTTAGTTAGGCCTCACTAACTTTGCCCTCATAACTCATAACTCATAACTTCCTGCTTCTGCTTCCTACGTGGCTAGGATGACAGTCATGCACCATCACACCTTATGCACAAAACGTTTTAAGATTGATGCCGGGTGCTGGTGGCTCACGCCTGTAATCCTAGCTACTCAGGAGGCAGAGATCAGGAGGATTGGGGTTTGAAGCCAGCCCAGGCTATCTCGAAAATATCCATCATAAAAAAGGACTGGTAGAGTGGCTCAAGGCATAGACCCTGAGTTCAAGCTCCAGTACTGCAAAAAAAAAAAAGTTTTTGAGATTGATAAAATCTAAGTAGGTATCTTTCTCCTCTACTGCCTGTGCTTTCGGTGTCATCTCTAAGACGTCATGAAAAATTTCCCCTATGTTTTATATTTTTAGCTCTTAAGTTCGGTCTTTAATCCATTTTTAATTTTCTTTAAAAGGTACAAGACATTCACTCTTTTGCACGTCTAGTTTTCCATAATTATTTGTTGACAAAGACCATCATTTTCCCCATGAATGGTCTTGGCACTGCTGTCAAAAATCAATTGAAGAATGTGAGGAGAAAAACCAATCGATTCATCACATGTATTAGGTTCATTTCTAAGTTTACTATACAACTTTGGGGTCTCCATGTACATCTCAAATGCCAATATTGTTGTCTTTCCTTTTGTGGTACTGGAATTAAAACTCAGGGTCCCCCTTTTATTTTGGTGACATTAGGGTTTGAACTCAGGGCCTTATGCTTGCTAGCCAGGTGCTCTACTGCACTCTAGGCTTTGTACTTGCAAGGCAAATCCTCTACCACCTGAGAAATGCCTCCAGGTCTTCTGGCACTGGTTACTTTGGAGATAGGGCCTCTATCTGGTCTGGACTGCTATCATCCTATTTAGGGTTCCCACTGTTGCTTGGATGACAAGTGGGTGCCACTGAGCCCAGATATAGGTTGAGATGTGGTCTGGCAAACTATCTTCCAGGGCTAATCTTCCACATAGCTAGGATTAAAGGCATGAACCACTGCTGCCAAGCTGAACACAGAGTTCTGTTCTTGCTTGGCAAGCACGCTACACCCCCAGCCCTCAACACACTTCTCAAATGAATGGGAAGGAAAAAGAATCATAAACTTAATCTGAATTCTAACATTAACTTGTTTTGTTTCCTCTTTTCTAAAGAGAAAGACTGGACCAAAGGAATCTTACAACTCCAACAATCTAATGACTTTGTAGTCAAGACTTTCCTTCACAGAATAAGCACATACCATACACCGCTGATTTATCAAATGGTCATGAAATATTTCTAAAATGGAAAATTCCTAAGGCAGTTTAATAAATGTAAGTATAAAACATACACTTTCAATGTCTGAAACTATTAGCATCTGTGTTTGGGAGAGACCTTCTTGAAGACTGTACAAATGAATTCTGTGTCAAATGTTATGAAGCCAGTTCTTATCCTAGTGTTGCCAGCAAGTCTAAAAACAAACTGAGAGAATGTTTTGTCAGGTTTTCCCATATACATGCACATGAAATGTCTGCTAAGCTTACATCTAATTCAGTATTATGGAAAGTAGCCCCGCACAAATGAATCTTTAAGCCAGCCAACATTCCCCTATCATGAAAACATATCCTCCCCAAGGAAAAACACTGCACATAAGCAAAATAGTCAATGAAAGAAAGCAACAATACAGAAATTCAGAAACTATTACTTCTATATAACATAAAGTTGTATGTACTTAGGAAGTAGCATGTAAAAATACTAGAAATATGTACAAAACTTTGCAGGCAATTTGAAGTGATGTTTAAAGAATGCATCAAGAACTAGGGATGTATAAACTCAGTGGTAAAGCACTTGTCTGGCATGAGCAAGACCGGGGATTCAATTCCCAACACCATGAACAAAAACTATCACACACTGTCTCTAAAATGAAACATGAATTCAGGTACTGCATCTTTTAAAAAATGTACACAAACCTTTTTATATTATTTAAAGCATTTCCTTAAGGACAACAAAGATGACCAAAAGCATCTGTTTTGAAAAACACAATGTGAAACCATAGTAGCTTTTCATCTTATTGATCTTGCTTAGGTGAATTAAAGGGCCAGCTCATTAACACACAACCCCTATGCACAATCTACAACATGAGAAATACAAGTGATGGCAGGAATGAGGATGCCTTATTCCCAAGGTGAGGGAGCCATTCCACTTGTGATGAGGTTCGGTCTACACATTCTTCTGTACTTCCTCACAATGAAAGGTCACACTAGTTTTCATCCGGTAAAATAAGAGTCTCACCAATATTTAAACAGAGTTATTTTAAGAGACTCGAAGAGTTGTAACAATCAAATGCTATACGCGCACACTATTTGAAACTTTATTTCAAGGGGCTGGTAAAGTGATTTTTCTTTTTTTTAAGAAAACTAGGACCCAAACAATTAACTGGGTATTAAATATGATGGAATTACTGTTACTTTTTTCTGATGTGATACTAATTTTGAAGTTAGGGTTGAAAGTCTTGAAGCATTTATAGGTAAAGTGGTATGATAGCTGAGATTTGCTTTAAAATACTCAGGTTGGGCAAAGGAGAGTGAGATGGAGAAAAACAGCAAAATGCAGGCCACCTGTCACTCGTATAGAATCCTAGATACTTGGGAGACTGACATAGGATCACTGTTTGAGCCTGAAGAAATAGGTTGAGAGACACTATTCCAAAATAACCAGAGCAAAATGCACTGGATGTGCGGCTCAAGAGGTAGAGCATTTGCCTTGCAATCTCAAAGCTTTGAATGCAAACATCAGTTCCACTCATAAATCAAACAAACAAAAGCAGCAGAATGCTGAAGATGGAGGATAAGCACCTGGAATTCATTCATTATTCTGCTATTTACCTCAGGCTTCACAATAAAGTTTCCAACTAAAGGAGGCCTAAGATTTCACTGACGTAAGTGAAATTTTAGAACATACAGCTTTGTTTGTACTTTTAAACTTGTCATTTATTTTGCAAACACTTAGTTTCACAGATTGTCTGACAAACTCTAGCAAACTGAATTCAAGGATCCGGTTTCAACTGCATCATGAGACACACCAAATATGAAGAGGTACGCTGGAGGTTATGGTGGTTCCAACTGAACAAAGACAAAGAACCTCATTAAATACATTTAACAGGACTGAATTTAAACTTACTTTCTGGGTCCGCAGACAGCAAAACCATAAAAGAAGCATTATTTACAGACTGAGTGGAGGTAACATGTAAGATATCTTCCACTGTTTACATAATTAAAAGAAAAATGAGTCTGTGCCTGCCATAACTAAAAAGAGTATTTTCTCTAGGACAGGAAAGGTTGGAAATATGAGAAGGGTTCCTGGAGGTACCAGCAATGTTCAATTTCTTGACCTAGGCAGTACTAACAAAGGTGTTTCTTTTTTTTTTTTTTTCCTTTTACCTTATTGGCACATATCTTTTTTTTATTCATTTATTCATATGTGCATACATTGTTTGGGCCATTTCTTCCCCCTGCCCCCTTCCTCTCCCCCGCTACACTCCTTCACTTCCAGGCAGAACCTGTTCTGCCCTTTTCTCTAATTTTGTAGAAGAGAAGACGTAAGCAATAATAAGAAAGACGTAGCGTTTTTGCTAGCTGAGATAAGAATATACAGAGAGATTCCTACCATTGCTTCTATGCACAAGTGTATTACAACCCAAACTGATTCATCTCCACCTGACCTCTTCATTACTTCCTGGTCACCTTCCCATATTGACCTCTGTCATTTTAAGGTTACTGTATTAGCTCCTCTGCAGTGGGGACATCAAACACTTTCAAGTTTGGGTTTCCTACCTATCTCCATACCTCCCGTATGTGCTCTGCCCTTAGCATATGACCCAAGTCCAACAACATTACTGCATTTGCCCTAGATCTAAAGTCCGCATATGAGGGAGAACATACGATTTTTGGTCTTCTGAGCCTGGCTAACCTCGCTGGGGATGATGTTCTCCAGTTCCATCCGTTTACTAGAGAATAATAAGGTTTCATTCTTCTTCATGGCTCAGTAAAACTCCATTGTGAATAGCTCTGCAATAAATGTGGGTATGCAGATGCCTCTGGAGTAACCTGAGTTGCATTCCTTTGGGTACATCCCCAGGAGTGGGATTGCTGGATCATATGGCAGATCTATATTTAGATTTTTAAGCAGCCTCCATATTGTTTTCCAGAGTAGTTGCACTAGCTTGCATTCCCACCAGCAGTGTACAAGGGTTCCTTTTCAAAGGTGTTTCTTTATAATTTAATGATAACCTACATATTTGTGTTTTACTGACTTCTCTATGTGAACATTATATTTCACAACTTAGGGAAAACATTTTTCTGTGACAAATCAAGTGAGCCCTAAAAATGTGAGCTGCTATTTCGTAAACTTCTTTTATGAAGATTTGCTTTCAATTCAATAAGAAGCACATACCTCTTGCCAAATTCATAATGTACCTGCACCTCAAGAGGTAAGCCAGCAGGGTGGAGGATGGCTCAAGTGTAGAGCACCTGCAGTGTGGGTCTTCATTGAAACCCCACTACCACAAAAGAACAACAACAAAAAAAGAGGTGAGCTCAGAAGGAGCAAAAGCCTTTGTAACAAGGAACTCCCCAAATTTCAAGGCAGCCGTTCAAAGCTACAAGATGAATGGAGCTCAGGAAGCCATTTCAGCAGCACAAACGCTTGTGCTCTTCTGCCTTTAGTTCCACAGAGAGACAGCCACACTGCAGGAAACCACGACCAACCTCTTAAGGGCCATAAAATGTTGTCTCCATTGCAACTTTGTGGTGAAAGAGACCGAGCCCTCACAAGTTCCACAGTACCAGGAACTGCCTATAGACAATGCCAGAAAATTACACTAACATACTAAGCTCTTAAAGGTTGGCATGAAGTCCTACCTTCAAGTGCCCTTTTCCCTAGAGGCAGTGATGGCACAGTGAAAGAATAACCATATCAACAGGCCTGGGTTTTATGCAAGTATTACCACTTACACAGAGGTGTTTGTTGAGTCACTCAACCAACATTTGTCTTCACATCTGTAAAATGGGATTAACAGTGTTTCTCTGGATGACCTCTCTCTTAGTGTCATCGTTATTATTATAATTATTACTACTTGCAGTATGGAGGCGTGAATTCAGGGCATATACCTTGAGTCATTCCACCAGCCCTTTTTTTGTGATGGGTTGTTTTCTACAACAAAATTAGAGATAAGGGCAAAATAGTTTCTGCTGGGTATTGAGGGGGGGAGCGGGAGGGGGTGGAGTGGGTGGTAAGGGAGGGGTGGGGCAGGGGGGAGAAATAAACTAAGCCTTGTATGCACATATGAATAATAAAAGAAAAATGGAAAAAAAAAAAAAAAAAAAAAAAAAAGATAGGGTCTTGAGAACTAGTTGCCTGGGCTGGCTTTGTACTGTGATCCTCCTGATCTCACCTCCCAAGTAGCTAGGATTACAGCGTGAGCCACCTGTGCCTGGCTTCTTAGTGTTATTTGTAATGATAAAAAATGTACATGCTGTCTGAAACGTAAAGACCTAAACAATAGTCATGAATTTATCATTTTTTGACACCAGGTCTTGCTGTGCACCCCAGCCTAGCCTTGAACTTGAGATCCTCCTGCCTCAGCCTCCTGAGTAGTACATTTCAGGTGCGTGTCATCACACCTAGCTCAATAAAAGTCATTTTAAAAAATATGTTCTATCCAGGTGCTGTATTTAAAAACCCATACCATCATTAACTTGGTAACAAGTTACACTTCTACCTCCTATGGTCAGGAAACCTGCCAAAAGGGTTTATACAGGTCCTGCATGAAGAACATCTCACAATTGTACTGGAGGTAACCACAGGCAACTGCTGAAAAAACAGACCAAAGTTTTTCAAGGCAATGATCATCACTTTGAAAAGGGAAACATTAATCTATTCTTCCAGGTAACTACTGAAGCATTAGAATTTAGGAGAAAAAAGCATTCCGATTGCCAGGCCAAAAGACTATAAAACTACGTTGCTGAAATGCATTGATTTTAAACCCTGCTTTTTTTTTTCCAGGATCTTTCACATGAAAGTTTTCCTTTTTATTTTCTCATTAAGCACTCATAAAACCAAGATTTAGATATACATCCAAATCAACTTTTTTTTTTTTTTAGTGAAACAGGGTCTCGCTGTGTTGCCCAAGCTGGCCTGAAAGTTGAGATCCTCCTGTCTCAGCCTCCCAAGAGAGACGGCATCCTAAAACAGTAATGAATGAAAGTATTACAAAGGTTTTGATATTATGGGAAGGGGCCTACACTGTTCTCACAAAACAACTATTACAGAAATAATTCTATTTAAAGTTGATACAGATAAAAACTTCTAAAATCTTCCTAATGAAAATCAGTAAGGGGCTGAGGGCATAGTACAGCGGAGAACACTTGCCTAACATGAATGAAGCCCTGAGATCGATCTCTAACACCACTCACTACCACTGCCACCACCTCCAGAAGGTATCAATAAATGCAATAAAACCCTATTACCAAAAGAAGATTTGCTTTTCAAACTGTCAAGGATTATATAATGCTCTATTTAAGTTCCTCAAATATTTCCAGTCATCCATGGGACAGCTCAACTCTCTTAGAACTGCACTGAAGCTCTTATGATGTGACCCTTACAGAGTCTTCAATCTCATTTCCTTTCTGGTCTCTTTTCCTGTACATCCCCTGAGCTTCAGCCAGAATGAATTACTTGCAATCCCTTAAATACACCACGTTTCCTGACTGCAGGCACGCACTCCATGCTCACCTCCCCATCACTTCTTGAGCACTGACAATCTGAAGAAGTTTCCCAGCCAACATGCTAAGCTGCACACTCTTAGCCAGACTCACCACCAAGAGCAGAGTCTCCAAGCCTTTCTTTCTCTGCCTTCCAGTGATCTTCTCCTTGTTGCAACAGGGAGATCACCTTGGGTATGGTAAATGGAAGTCCAACTCTTAGAAAAATAAGCAAATAAAACACTTAAAAACCAGAAAGACTAACAGAAATAAGTTACAGAGATCACATGTGTCCTGCAAAGTCTAAAATATTTTCTACCTGGCCTTTTGTAGAAAAAGTTTGCTGACTTCTTGAAAAGGCAAGTGGGAAAGGGAAGTCCAGAGGCTCAATGCAGTCCTCTGCTGAGATGAACAAACAAACCACAGAACAATTGCTGTTAGGACAGTTTTGTCTGAATCATGAAGAAACTTCTAATGTGGAATCATATAGAGGGACAAGGATGACTATCAATACCACCTCCTCCATTTCTGTACACATGTCAATTCCACATGTCTATAAGCTGTATGCTTTCAATATTTATTTACAGAGATCTGACTGATATAAACCTAAGGCAACACTCAGTAAAAATCTTACAATGACCCACAGCTTTTCTTCAAGGAAGAAGGTGCTGAGACCTCCCCATTTCTGAATTCTGTTTCTACAGGGAATTTCCTTACCCAGTGTGGCCAGGTGATTGTAGTTCTCCAGTATCATCTCTCAGTAAAAGCTGCTCTGAGAAGGATCCAGCTTTCTTCACTCATCCTGAGTAATGCATGCAGCCATGTCCTCAAACATTATTGACACCTGCAAGGACAAACCATTCCAGCTCATCCAGAACCAACCATCACACAGTAGGGGAGGTGGACAAGGTACCATGAAATGCTACTCATGACATTCAAGGTGCTGAAAGGTCCAGGTCATTTGTTTAATGAATATTTGACCAATGACAAATACACACTGAGCAGAATAAATATGAAACACCTGTTATTGTTTGAACCTGGAGTGTCCCCGAAAGTTCTGTGTATTAAAGGCTTGGTCCCTAGCCTAGCACTACTGAGCCTGGGTGGTGCTAGAACCTTCAGAAGGTGGTACCAAGTAGAAGGAAGTTAGGGAGTGTGCCCATGAGGAAGATAGAGACCTAGCCACTTTTGTTCTGGCATGTTGCTTCCTGGCCACCTTAAGGTGAGCAGCTTGATCCGCTGCACACCATCTGCCATGATGCACTGCCTTGGCACATGTCAAAAGCAATAGGGCCAAACAACCCTGGACCAAAATCATGAACCAAAATAAACATTTCCTGCTAAGTTGATTATCTCAGGTATTTTGTCACAGTAATGAAAGGTAATTTAATACACTGGCCTAGTGTTAGCCACTATGACATATCTCTAGGTAATAAGGCAACTAGTGTGTTAATTACAATAATCCTTCTAATAAAGATTTGATAATACATATTAAAAGGCTTAGGAATGTGTGTATTCTTTAATCCACCAATTATTGTATTTGTGTATAAAATTGTATGCACAAGAATATTATGTACTGGTGAAAAAATGGAAGTCACCTAAATAGTCACTGGTGAAGACTAGATTGAATAAATCAAGACACTATCTGTTTCCTCAAGCTTGAGGACAGTTATTATGAATATTAAAATAGAAATTGAATGCTAATCTTTTGAGTATAATCTATTTAGTCTTCACCATAATCCTGTGAAGAAGGTGTTACTATGATCTACACTTGCACAAGAAAAAACAAAGTTACACAGAAGATTAGAATTCCGCCCAAGTCACACAGCTGGCTCAGTTTTGGAGGTTTCAGCTCATGACTGGTAGGCCCTGTTGCTTCTGGGCCTATAGTGCAGAGCACAAAACAGTGACAGTGTGAGTACAGGGAGTCTGTTCACTTCAAGGCTGGGAAGCTAAAGAAGACAAGGCCAACATCCCCTTCAAGGACATACTCCCCAATGCCCTGACTTCCAGCTTCTTTCCACTTGGCCCCACCAACTTCCTGTAGTGCCATGGGCTCAAGACCAAGCCTTTAACACACTGGCCTTTGGGGAGATTTAAGATCCAACCATAGCAGGAACACTGCCATGCTGTCGTGAGAAAGAGCAGTAACAAATACAAAGCCTTCAGTGCATTCCGTGCATGCCGGAAGCTCACTAAACATTCCGCGTCAGTGTTAGATGAAGAAGAGTAGATAAAGGACAAGTATTTTCTGGGTCACAGAAACACTGTCAAAGAGTTCCTGTTTTTGTAGTTGTTTGTTTTTTTGCTGGGAAGCAAACTCAGGGCCTTACACAAGCTAGCACGTACCCGACCACTGAGCCACACTTCCAGCCCTTAGCAGTTAGGATGAAATCAGTATTATTAACACAGTATCCTTCAACCATGGCTGAATGGTCACTATGGGCCTGGCCCTGAGCTAAACACTTTCCATGCACTAACTCATGTCATTCCCTCATCTACCCTAGAAGATAGCACTGATTTTATAGGTGAAGAAACTGATGCACAAAGGGATAGAGTTATTTCCCCAAAGCTCACAAACAGCAACAGAAGAAAGAGGTTAAAAACATGTGTCTGACTTAAGAGCCCCACTTCCTAACCGCTGTGTGCACTGCTTCTCTGCCATAGATGATCATGGAACGCTCCTGTAGCTTACTCTTTATTCCTGGAATAAAAGACCTCTCCTATTGGATCCCCTGCTATCCTAGGCCCACTCACTGTCTCATCCTAATGGGGGGGGGGCTTCCCTAGACTCCCAACATAAAGATAAAAATGGCAGGCCAGTCATTTTTCCCAAGTGGTAGAGGAAAAGCATATGATCCATAATGTCCACTGGGAGAAAAAAACTAAAAACTAGGGGCTGAGAAATCTGGGAGAGGCATCATGAGGATGCTCAGGAGGAAAGAGAAAAAAGCATTCTTGCCAGGGACAGGGAGTAACATGGAGGAGACAAACTGGCAGGGCCAGAGAGGAGTTTTCCCAGGTGTGCAGTTTGTCTGTCCATAGTGATAAAAAGACACCCAGGCATCTTGCTTGTCAAATTAGTAATGACGACACAGATTGAGATTAGTGAACAAAAGTGAACGCTGGAGATGGGAATATCCCCTACACAATCCACCACCCACGAAGGTGGACCAACTCCTGCTCTGTAAAAAATGGCCTCTAAATCCTGATGGAGGTTGTATTGGGTAGAGAACTTCAGTTAAGTTGGGAAAAACTCCACCTCCATTCACTAAGAAACGAGATGGCAATGAGCTCACAAGACTGTGCTTCCCTTTGCTCAGGAGCCATCCCTGAGCTCTTCCCCAAGGACAGCTGCAGTGGCCCTCAGAGGCTGGATGGGAGAGAAGAAAAGGGACCAGGAGAAAGTCCTTTCTGCTTTAGGCCCCTCAGAATCAGCAGCTTTCAAATCCTTTTCATCACCCCAGAATGACCCCAGGGGTCTTCAGAGAGGGAAGTCAGAAGGAGCTGGGAGTGGACAGGACCAGGGAAGGGCTGGGACCATGGTGGCCCAGGGCCCGGGCCCCACTCTTCTTGGCTCAGGGAATCTCCAGGATCAAGACTAGGAAGAGACCCTGGACTCCATCACTGACCCTCGCCCCATGCCAGGCACCTTCTTACACTGCTTGGCCCCACATTATTGATCCGCATACTGAGGGCAGAGTGGGGCCACCTGACCCCATTGGCACAACCAATGAGTAGCGGCTCTAGTCTCACTGTCTTCCCCTGCGACAGTCTTCCTCAGCCTCAGCTGCGCCCACCCAATTTCTCTGCCTCCTGCAAATGAATCCATTTCCAGGGTTTTCAAGAAAACCCTTCCAGAAACGGGGAACGGTGGCTTCCCCATGCCCGGCGGGGCCCGGCCGCAGAAAAGGAAGACCTGGTTCTGGTTCTGGTCCTGGCTCTGGCGTGGGGGCGGGCGCCTGGCTCCCCGGGGAGGACCGCGTTTCCCACGCGTGACCGCGGCCGCGGCCGCTCCAAGCCGGCAGCGCGGGCAGGGAACGCGCCGGGACGGAGCTCAGGAGGCGGGAGGCTGCGCTGAGGCGAACCGGGACCGAGCGCCGACCGCACACGTCCAGGCGGCGTCGCGGACGGCCGGCGGGGCAGTCGAGAGCCCGCGGGGCCACCGCGCCTGCAAACGCCTCTCAGCTGGTCCCGGCCGCTTCCCCGCCCGCATCCTCTCGAGGCCTGCGCCCGCCTCCCGCAATCCCCGCCCCTGCGCCGCTCACCTCCCCGGGCTCGGGAGTCTCCGTGCCGAGCTTCCGCCGCCGCGATCCGCAAACGCAAGGCTCCAAAACCGCGCCACCCGACAGCCGCCTGGCTTCGGTGCTTCGCCAGCGCGACCTCAGGCCCAGTACCCCAGCCCCGGCCAGATGCTTGACAGCCATGAAGGCCCACGAGAGGCGGAACTGGGTCCCAGGGGTCGCGCGGCCGCTATGTCCTATGGGAAATGTAGTCCACACGAGGACCAAAGCCTTCTGGGACGTGTAGTTTCCCGCGTTTGTCCGCCGGGGGCTGGGCAGATCATGTTCTCTGGCTGCAGCAAGGCTCCCCAAGCGCTCTGGGGTTCACACTTGTCCCCTCTCAGCTGTGGAGCCCTGGGTTCCAGTCAGTGAAGGTAAGCTGACCGAGCCCAGTGTCATCGCTGTGCACTCGTGTGACTGACAGTGAGGCCAGCAGATGGTGACTCAGTAGAGTAACATAACCCGCAGTTATCATCAAAGGGGTGTTGAGCATCTGCTTGGTGCAGGCACCATTGACGTCCGTTTGAAACACGTTAACGGACAAAACGAACACCATTGCTTTAGGTGGAGTAGGTTTTATAAGGCAGGGAGCAGACAAGAAGTCACAAACATAATTTCACAGCATTTTAGAGGATCCTGTTACCGGGGAAAGCAAAGGAAGCGCAGGATTGGGGTTTCTGGGGACAATTTGGGAATGTGAGCTGGGTGGCCTGTCCGGTGAGAAGGAGCAAAGGTTCCCAGGCAGCTCGGGAAGTCGGGGCCTGGGGAGGCGCATTCCAGGTGCTGGGAACCAACAGACAATTTATTCTTAATATAAATACCTTGTTACAAGAAAAACAGAAGGTTCGCCAAATACCAAAGCGGTAAAAGAAAAATGCTGTCGGTGCCGTTAAGCAGAAAATTAGTGACACATTTTGATTAACTCCTTGAACAGCCTTTTGAGTTCTACATTAATCTCAGTCTTGTCACCTATCCTGTTTTTCTCCCCGCTGAAAAACATGCCTTGGACATTTAAATTTGCCACCTAATATTCTCTCAGTAGTGTTTCTAATAGCTTTAGTGTATTCACTGCATTTAATGTTTTAAAAGTATTTAACTAAAGCTTATTTGATTCAATATATCTAACTAAACCCTTATTGCTGGTTGTTTATATTGAGTCTTTTTTCACCATTAATACCTTTGCAGCTGTATCTTTGAAGATTATTTTCTTAAACTCCTTGAACTTGAATTGCTGGATTGAGTACTGGCAAAACTCTTAACATATTTCAGTACACTGCTTGATTTCATCCTGGAAAGTGTCACAATTTATATCTCCATGAGCAGTTGCTGACAATATATGCCTAGTATTCCTGCCCACTCTGGATTTTCTTTTAATGCTTGTATCTAATAGAGCAAACAATTACCTTGTTTGAATATGTAATTTCAAGAACTTGTGAAATTAGATGTAATAAAAATGTTACCTTGTTTTTGTATATAATTTGTTACTTGGAAAATTAAATGTGTTACATATTTATTCATTATTTAGATACTTTCTGACATTTAACTGCCTATATAGATACCATGTCAGCTTTCCATACTGAATAATTACTTCAGATATTTAACTTATAAGAGAAATGGTTTATGTTTAGGCCTCCCAGTTTTGGAGGTTCCAGTCTGTGGCCAACTGTCCCTGTTGCTTTGGGGCCTGTAGCAAGGCAGCACTCATGGTTGGGAGTTTGTGGTGGAAGAAGCTACTCAAATCATGGCTGGGATATAAGATGAAGCAGGAAAGAGAAGGAGACCAGGGTCCCTCAATCCTCTTCCAGCACACACCCCCAATAATGGGAAGACCTCCTCTAGGCTCCATTGCCTTCAATACTGCCTGAAGATGGGCTGAAGCTGGGGACCAGATCTTTAACACAGGGGCCTTTGGAAGACATTCCAGATCCAAACTTGTTATGGTTTGTATATAAAGAGTCCCTCTTCCAAAAGGCTCATATATTGAAGGCTTGGTTCCTGGCTGGTGGAGCTATTTTGGGAGGTGGTAGAAACTTTAGGAGGTAGGCTTTAGTGGAGAAATTAGGTCACAGGGGGTGTGTCACTGGGGCTGCACCTTGTCCTGGGCCCCTCTCTGTCTCTGCCACATGCTCTGCCTCATCACAGACCCAGAATCAAAGGAGCCAAGAGCTATGGACTGAAGCCTCTGACACCGTAAGCCAAAACAAATCCTTCCCTGAAGTTGTTTATGTCAAGTATTTTATCACAGTGGTGAAAAATCTGACTAACACAAAACTATAGCCGGTACACTGGCCATTTCCTATTGAAGTGCTGAAATTTGAATTTTCATTTTGAAATAGCATATATGCATAATTTTTAAGGGAATAGACCTTTGTTATTTACTCATTATAAAAAAACTTGTACAGTACATGGAATGAAGAAACATGTAGTAAAGAAATAAATTCAGCATTGATTCATAAATGCTCATTTCTCATACTATTTAAAATGCTAAGTATATACAGAAAGCCAATTAGAGTCCAATAAAACACGTGATTATAAAGAGAAAATTCAGTAGCCATCCACCCAAGTTGAGAAGTAGATGCTCATTAACACTCAGTACTCCCTTCTGATTTTTAATTTTTTTTGGTAGTATTGGGGTTTGAACTCAGGGCTTCACACTTGCCAGGCAGCCACTGTACCACTTGAGCCACACCTCCATCCACTTCTTCCTTCTAAGCACAGCTGCTGTCACGACTTTTGAGATAGACTTTTCTTTATAGTTTTACCACGCATTTACACATTCTTACACAAGAGTTTCACCTGTAACTAACTTTATGTAATAAATCATACACCTATATGTTTGTGTCTTGTTCTTCTTTTTGTTAGATTCATCCTTATTGCAGGACTACTGTGTCCATTGTGGACATTTTATGTTGTTTCCAGGCTTTAGCTACTCAGGACTCTGCTAGTAGTAATAAAACATGTCAGTGATAGAATCTAAGAGGTGGTATATGGTTTCTATAAAATTCTTTCAACTTTTCTTTGTGTTTGAAATTTTAAAAATACTGCATGCACTTGTGTTTACAATGAAGGGTTGTGTTATAAATGGTCCGTGGAGGCTCTGAAACCACATATTTCAGCAGTTTGGGGATGATGGTCATTTATTTTAACAATCCTTATCCATTGTACACCATGAAATAATGTATCGCTTTTGAGGGAGAGTATAGATAACAAAGCAAAGAAGATTGGTAAAATGTTGAATGTCTAAAAATATTGAATGTTTATGTACACACACATATAAACACACATTTTTCTACTTTTCAGCAAGAAGTGGGGCAAAAAGTATTTCAAAATGGATGTCAACTAGTGAGAGTCAACCACAATGGACTTACTGATGAGCTCTGTCTTCAGATCTCTTCAATATTCAGCCACAGAAACATGCATTGACTGGTAAGAACAGTCACAGTGACACATTAATGATGCTCATTTTATTTCCCTCTAATACAATTTGATATATAACAAATGAAGATAAGTGTAAATTTTTTTAAATGTTGAGAAATGTGTTTGACTCCAAATAAGACATAGAACCTTATCATCATCCCAGAAAGTTCCCTCAATTTACTTCCAATTAGATCTTCAATGGCCCCCAGAGGTCCATGTATCAAGAGCTTAACAGCTTGCGGCACTATTAGAGGGTGGTGGAACCTTTTTTTTTTTTTCTTTTTCTTTCTTTTATTCTTTGTTGTTGTTGCTGTGGTACTGGGATTTAAAATCAGAGTTTTGTGCTTGTTAGACAGGCCCTCTGTTGTTTGAGCCACACTTCTAGTCTGGTGATGGAACCTTTTAAAGGTGAGATCTAGTGGGAGGAAGATAGGTCACTGGAGGTAGCCTTTGAAGGGGACAATGGGACCCTGGTCTTTCTTTGTCTCTATTTTGCCTCTTGGTTATCATGAGTTCATCAGTTTCCTCTGCCATGTGCTTTCACCATAATGTACTGTGCTGCTATAGATTCAAAGCAACAGGGCCATCCAACCATGAACGGAAACCAAGAGTGAAAATAAACCTTGCCTCCTTATAAGTTGATTATCTCAGGTATTTTTCACAGTAATGGGAAGCTGACTAACCCACCACTGAAAACCACCCAGCCAGCAGCAAACACTATTCTGATTTCTTTCACCATAAATTGGTTTTGCCAGTTTTAAAACCTCATAGAAACCTCATGGAAATCATATAGTATATACTTTTTTGTGTCTGGCTTCTTTCACAAGTGTATTATTTATGAGATTCACCCAGGATGTTTTATGTATTAGTAATTCTGTCTTTTCAATTACTGTGTTGTATTTCATTGCATAAATATTCAAAAATTTGCTTATCCATCCACCTGCTAATGGACACTTAGATTGCTTCAAAGCAGCTATGAATATTAGTGTACAAGTCTTTGGTGGGCACAGATTTCATTATTCTTGGACAGATACCTAAGAGCAGAATTGCTGGTTGTGGGTTAGGTTCATTGGTCTGCTTGCGCTGCCTTAACAAAACACCACAGACTGAGTGGCTTGCAAATCAGAGACTTGTTTCTCACAGTTCTGGAGGGAGGAAAGACCAAGGGTGCAGGTGCTGGGAAGTAGTTTCTGCTCCAAGGCCTCCTCTCCTGGCATATAAGAAGGTGCTACCTCACTGTGTGCTCACATGAACACATTTTTGTGGATCTGCAGGGTATGGTGAATTCTTTATAACTTTATGTTGTCTTAGCATCCATTTTGTAAAGAACCTGGGCTTTTGCATACCACAAGCACAGCTTAGACAAAGTTTCCAGTTGTCCACCTCCTTGCAGTTTCTCAAGGTGATCTATTCAGGTACTTGCATTATACAACTGCCTCCTGGTGGCCAGCTCCTATGGGACAGCTAGTTTCAATCTACTTGATTCCCATATTGGCAATCACACCCTTTATGTTGGTTTGGTTTCTGTTGCTATAACACAGTTCCTCAGCTGGGTATTTTATAAAGAAAAGAGATTTATTTAGCTCATGGTTTGAGAGACTGAAAATCCAAGATTGAGTGGTACTATCTGATCAGTCACTGTTGAGGCTGAATCACACATGGTGGAGAAGTAGGAAGGAAAAATGGTCTAGTGTAGAAGGGGGATGTGCAGAGACTGCCTTGCTTTATAACAATCCAGTCTTGAGAGGACAAAGTCACTCCTGAAGACC